TTTTTGTTACTTCTTCCAGCTGTATAAATAATTTATAAACCAATTCATTTCTTATTTAGGTAATTATATTCTTTATGTGTATATTAATAATATATATTTTATAATATAAAATAATTCTGTTAGTATTATAATATATTTATTTAATTAACTTGAATTAAGATCTTTAGGTATCTGCCGAAACATTTATTATTACAATGTGGAAAGAAATAATTTGTAGTTATATAAACTAGTTTATTATGGTTTAATGTTTTAAAATTTATTTGATATATAATGATATTTGATATATATCTCATATTCTATAGCTTAGAAGTATTTGTAGTTAATTAAATCAATGGAAACATCAGCATTCGCCTCGAATTTGTGATATTTAACTTTTATGAGACATTCATTTAATAGTTTGAACTTATTTGTTCTTATACAATCTCGTGAAGTGAAGAGATCTAGTGAATTATGGTCACGGGATCTCTAGTTTACAAAAAATAAAATTAATTTGTGAAAGATATTTTAGTTATATTAAATAATCAATTATTAAAGATTATACTGCGAAGAATGCGTATCTGCGTAAAGGCTTTCTGACCTTTAGTTATATTCGGAGAAGTATCTAACATTTCTATCATGCTGTTTTTTGAGAAGACAACGTGGTTTATCAGCTAAGCGTTACAAATTAGCCCTATGCGCTACAAATAAAACATAACCAATGGTTATAGATATTATATTTCATATATAAAAAGTGCTTTGTTACAAGAACTTGTATCTGGAGTATAATCTTCGTCTGTCCTAAAAACTAAAAGACTAGTTTGTGCACAAGTATGGATATGACTAGATCTATCACCTCATCTAGGTTATCTAAAATATAGTTTCTTCTTAGGCTTTATTTTCTTCATTGCGTTATTAAATTTTTTAACATTTTATTACCCTTTTCATATTATTTACCCTTAAAGTATAAAGGCAACTGATACTATATATAGAAATGTTATGTATTCATAATGTATATGCTTAAAATTTTTTGTAGTGTTATTGTATTTAATAGAGAGGTTTTGCTATCTTCAGTTTTCAGTTTCGTTTTCAAAGAGTAACATTAGCGTGACTTTCTATGTAAAATGTTCCTAGTTTAGGTTCCATATACAAGAAAGAATAATATAAAATCATGCTGAGATAATTTTACAATTGAATAGTGTTAAAATTTTACAGTTTAATTCGTTTATTTATCATGTTAAAATAATAACACAGTAAGTGAATTCCAAGTTCAGTTGCCTAACGAACACTCAGTCTGAGCTTTAAATTTGGTAGGGTACGTGGTGAACCTTTGGTGCTTGCAGTCTCAAAAAATTATTTATGAGTAATCAAATATAAGTATAATTCCAACACCACTGACGAAAGGTATGTCATATATGGCTATAGTCAGCCAAAAATTCAATTAATTAAAAGAAAAGAAAAATTTTTGTTGTTACAATTCACTATTTTTCGAAATTTTTCTAATTTTTTTATTTTTTTAATTGTATTATTATTATATTATTACTATTATAATATGAATATGATCATTGCAATGTTTTTTACTTTTCGTATTATATGCTCAATATTATAATGTAGTTATACCTATAAATGAACTTCACATAAATATCAATAATATTAAAGGAGTAAAAGAAGTAGCTATTTATATAATATATATGCTTATTTCAATTAAGAACACACCATTATGATATATTTATTCATTTATTGTATAATATATTTTTCCATGTTCACATGCTAGATATTTAAGTTACCTTCTTCTTCTACCAGCAGCAATGAATTTTTTAACTGGAGCTGAAGCAATACTTGTATAAACTCCAGGGTTTATCCCACAGCCCTTTCCAAGTGAAACAAGTCCATATAATTTATTGTTATGTACAAGTGGACCACCAGAATCTCCTTTACAAAAATCTTTACCATTTGCAAACGCACAAAACTTTGAAGGACTAAGTGAATACTTTCGAGCACATGTTGTTCTGGCCAAAGTTTTAAGACTAACGACACGCAATACATTGGAAGGAACACCAGATTCATCATAACCCCAACCCCAAACTTTAACAGCAACGTTATTTGCAAGTGGTTTTGTACCCAAAGCGATTGTTGCAATATTAGTACCAGTTAGTGCAGTTGTTAGATGTACTATTGCTATATCCATATGATGAGTTTTGGTACTGTATTTGTTGCTTATAACTATTCTAGCCACTTGTCTTACTACTCCACCAGTGTTTAAGTCAGTAGTCCCACCTCGAACTTGTATTCCTGCAGCTACTGAGCCGTATACACAATGTGTAGCGGTGAGAACTATAGTTGGTTCTATCAGTACACCTCCACATAGAGTAGATCCGAATCTAATAATCTGTACTACAAATGGTGCTTGTGATATTGTTGTTGTTGTTCCTCCTATGATTTTTGGGCTTTTGACAGCACATTTTACGTGTGGAATCGAAAATATTCCTAAGATGAATAATAAACCGTAGGTAAAGTATTTCAGAAACATTTTACCTTTCTTAGCTGATCTTCAGCACTCACTGATCGATGACTTTTTCAAAGCTACCCTTTATAGCAACTACGTAAATCTGATTTTAATTAATATTTCAAAATTGTATAAAATTATAAAAATTTCTAAATTTAAATTATTTTCGAGACTTTTTCCAACTGAATAAATAATTTTAAAACTAATTTATATCTTATTTAGGTAAATATATTTATTATATTTGTACTTTAACATATTATAATAAAAAAACGTCTATTTTAGTAATCTAATGAACAAGTATTTGAATGAATATTTGATATGAAGATTTAACACAAATTGTGGGTATTGTTACTTTGCCATTAAAAGAAGTTCAATCGTGGCATTATAATGTATATAGTACCATTGATATAATATATTGAAATTTTTTTCCAAAATTTAAATCAGTGACACTTGCAGAAGAATTTATATGGTGTATATTTCATAATTATTTAATAGATAAATAATTTTTTGGTGTTTTAGAAATATAATAGAAATGATGTTCCCAAATAAGAACATTCGTGTCTGCAATCTGAAAATATTTTAGATATAATATTATATACAAAATATTGGATTCAAAACAACAGAAATAACATTGTTGTGGTCTTACCAAAGTTCGATACCCTTTACACAGATATATTTGTTCCAAAACTTTTCATTTATTTTTAGTTCTGAAGAGGTCGCAACAAACAGTAACATTATTGTGCATTGTCAAGATTATACGGGGAATGTGTCGAAATTTCTCAACCATACTTTTCCGATTTTTGAGAGGTCATATAAGATTTGATCATTACCAAAATATGTTAGTCAAAGTTTTCCAATTTTTACCAGATCTTATAAGATATGATCATTACAAAAATATGACTGATTGGCACAAATTTGAATAACTGCATTGATCCGTGTAG